TCACAGTTGCAGGGCACCGGTGACCCTAAAAATAATGTTTTACCCTGTTCTGTTATAATTGTCTCCTGTTTAATATAATTGTGTTTATTATAGTGTATGTGTTTGTGTTATTTTCTGGGAGTCTCCAACTATCTGGCGAATACGTGGGGATTATCCTGGGCTAGAATTTTCCTCCCAAGCTGCCCTGGCAACCCTGCTAGGAAGGAGTGAGGGGGGTGGAGGCACCGCCAAGTACATCAATCAAAAAAAATAAAATTGAGTAGGTGGCGGGATCCAGAAGAACCCAAACCTATCCATCCGAACCTGAAAGGAGATTGGCTTTAAAAGAAGGTAACCAGGTGGAGAGGGGGCGCTACACGTGCGCAAGAAGCCCCTATGGTTAAAATGGCCATCAGGGCTTTCTTGAGCAAGAGAGCATCTACACTGCCATGGATGCTCTTGCACAAAAGCACATCTCTTTTGCAAAAGCACATGCCAGCGGAGTGGCTGGCAGGAACGACCGGCGGGGGGCCGGTAGGAGACTGGCGGGCAGCAGGGGCAGCACACAGGTGGCATCACATCAGGCTCTATGAGTGGAGTCATCAGGGTGATGTGTCTGGGTCTGCACTGACTGGACAGAACTGTAAGTGGGGCGTTGGAAGTGGGGTACAGAGAAAGTTTAGGTAAGCAAATAGAACCGTTACATTATTGGACTAGTGAACTTGAGAGGGAAAGGAGATTGCTCAATCCATTTGACCTGGGACGGTTACTCGTGGGGGGTTATGAACTCTGTTTGTGGTATTTTCCCAAGTTAATGCCATGTGACTTCTCTCTCTCTTTCATTAAAAGTTTATTTTCTACGCTCAGACTCTGTGCTTGCGAGTGGGGAAGCATCGCCTCTCAGAGGCGCCCGGGGTGTGTGAATTTCCCAGATTACTGGGTGGGGGCTCGAGCCGGTTCTTTGTTAGATGGACCCCTAGATATTTATCCGGCCATGGCTGCTGCCGGCCCTACCTGGCAGAAGGGCTACACAGATAATATGGACAATGGGCGAGCACCTCCTGTGAAGGCGGCAGGAGGGCCACAAACATGTTGGGCCTGTGGGGATGTGGGGCATCTGAAGAGAAAGTGCACCCGGGGGACCTGCAGGGCCCCAGCTAGCCCTGAGGGAAAGGCTAAGCCACAAGTGGCCTGGAGGAGGGCCGGGGCCTAGGGAAGGCACAAGCAGTGTTTCTGTTGCCACACTGAGGGCCATATCAAGAGGCACTGCCCCCAAGGAGTGGATCAGAGGGCTGAGAAGCAGGTTCAGTGCTAGGCTACTCCAAAGGAGGGAGTGGTGAGCACAAAAGCCTCCAGGAAAGGAGTGTCTGAGGACAAGAGGCCCAAGATAATTCTGGGGACGCGCCTGGGAGCAGGCTGTTTCAGTGGGGACCAAACCCTTGCTAGGGTGGAGAAATAGTCATGCTCTCCTTGCAAATACTATACACTATTGACTGACACTGGAAAGGAGAGTAAAAGGCATTCACTCGGGCTTCTACAGTTTCTCTGGGGAATGTTTAGGATCCATGCTATACAAGAACAAGCGAAACAGAGACCTGTAAAAACAGATAAAGGGTCTCCGGGTTTGAAACTTTCACCAAGCTGCTGGTTCCTATTTCCAGCTCGGGCACAAACTCACTGTGTGTTCTTGGGTAAATCACTTTGTTGTTGCCTGGCTCAGTCATTCCACGACACGGGGATAGCACTGCCCAGCAGCCTGACAAAAACGCTTCTCCATGTAGGGGTCTAAAGTACCAGGCAGAGCATGTTAGACCCAATTTCACTGCTCAGGTTCAGCCCCTGGGCAGTGGGTGCCCTGGAGTTCCCGAGAAGGGGCTGGGTATGTGTATAAATGGCCGGTTAATGGAAGGGGCTGTGTGAGCTACTGAATCCATCCCCAGCATCTGACCAGAATCCCACTTTCCCAGCTAATACAGGGGTCTATCCTTCTGTCTCTCCCAGCGGTTGTCTTCCTGGCTTGAAAGCTGATCCCTAATCCTGCCCTGAAGACCTAGCTCTGGACAAAGGATTCCCAGTCCCTCCCCCTTGCAGGTGCCCTACCCACCCCCAGTTGGGAGAAACCAAAGCTACAGAAAGGAGCCACATTTGGTCTCTGCCCACAGGACTCTGAACCTGAAATGTAGGGCCCAACCCTACTCCTAACCCTCAGCTGCTTCGACACAGCTCCCTGCCTTCCCTGTCCATTTCTGACTGGCCTGCCGGCCCCAGCACTGCATGGTCAGTGCATAGATGATAGCTTCTCCCCTCTGAGCACTGGATCAGAAGGAGCCTAGGGGTGGAGAAAGGGACATGGAGATAATCCAGGTAGGTATGGGAGTTGGGGGGAGTGACCAATAGGAGTGGGGCCCTAGGGAAATGTCGGAGAAAGGGGTAGGGAGTTGAGGGGAGCGATGTTCTCCTCACTTCCTAATGTAAATTACAAAAATTTCACAAATTCACTACTGTCAAAACTTCCACTATATAAACACACACCAATATGCTACAATTACATGTCAAAGTTAATTTATGACTCCTTTGGTGCAAATTCAGTGCTAATTTTCATTAGACTACCCAACATAGACAATGAAACGGGGATTCAAATATCCCCGGCTTCATTAAAATAAAAATGGCCGCCGTGCTGTGCCGGCTCAGCTGATCATCGGCAAAATGGGGCAGTCAAGACACGGATCGGTCGACGAGGAAAGCCTTTGCTGACCGATCCTTTATGCCCCGTGAAATGAGGTTTACAGGATCAGTCGGCAAAGGCTTCCCTTGCCGACCGATCTGCATCTTGACTGCCCCGTTGTGCTGACGATCACCTGAGCCGGCATGGCATGGCAGCCATTTTTATTTTAATGAAACCGGGGATATTTAAATCCCCGCTTCATTGACTATATCAGGCAGCCTATTTTACATGCCTCTGGCGACGGAGGCATGTAGTCTAGATGTACCATTAGAGACTAACAAACATATTATACCATGAGCTTTTGAGGGTAAAAGCCACTTCATCAGATAAATTGGGGTGGAAATCTCAGAATCCAGAGTATATATAGAGTATATATATATATATAGAGAGAGAGAGAGAGAGAGAGAGAGAGAGAGGGAGAGAGAGAGAGAGAGAGGTTTCACATGGACCAATCCCTCAGTATTTCACAGGGACACAGCAAAGTAAGGTCAGGAAAGGATTTAATATTTCTTTGAAAGCCCAGCAAGAGTTTCAGGGGGAAAAGCCCAGCACCAGCTGGCTCTGAATGAAGACCACTTTGGGAACTAGATCTTGAGGAGACAGCTTTAGGTCCCTTTCTGGAAAAATAGCTGCAGCAGCCTGTCCCGGATCTGTTTGGTCCTCACCCCGTAGATGATGGGGTTCAGCATGGGGGGCACCAGGAGGTACGCGTTAGCAATGAAAACGTGGAAATACACAGCCACATTGTGGCCAAACCGATACGTGAGGGAGGAGAAGAGAGCGGAAATGTAAAAGGCTAAGATGGCACAAAGGTGGGAGACACAGGTACCAAAAGTCTTCATCCGGACGCACTTAGTCGGGAGGCTGAAGATGGCCCTGAGGATTTGGGCATAGGAAACGGTAATAAAAAGCACATCCAGACCAATTACAGAGAATACCACAAAGAGGCCGTAGTAACTACTGCTATAGGTGTCAGCACAAGCCAGCTTCACCACGGCCATGTGCTCACAGTGTGTGTGGGGGATGATTTTGTTATTGCAATATGGCCACCTTCTCGCTAGGAGGACATAGGGCATTACGAAGACGCCTCCTCGCAGCACCATGGCTAGGCCAATCTTGGCCACCGTGGGGTTAGTCAGGATGGTGGAATGTCTCAGGGGATCACAGATGGCCACGTAGCGATCCAACGCCATGGCCACGAAGATCCCAGACTCTGTCACTGCGAAGCAGTGAAGGAAGTACATCTGGGCGAGGCAGGCACTGAAATGTATCTCTCTGGAATTGAACTAGAAGATGCTGAGTGTTTTGGGAAGGATCGAGGTGCACAGGGCTAGGTCGGTGATGGCCAGCATGCAGAGGAAATAGTACATGGGCACATGGAGACTCCTCTCCATCTTCACAATGAACAGGATGGTGAAGTTCCCCAAGAGGGCTATGATGTACATGGTGCAGAAGGGGATGGAGATCCAGACATGGGCCGCCTCCAGGCCAGGGATGCCCAGCAGGATGAAGGTGGAGGGGTTGGTGAGGTCGGTTGTGTTGGACTCTGACATGGGGTAGGGAAGAAGGTGTCCAAATCTGAGGCAGAACGGTGTCTCCTAAATGTACTATATGTTCTCCCAGCTTCGAGTATGTGATCAGGTTCTAGGGCATTGGTTGCAGTACAAATACCTGGAAAGAGAGGCAATTTTAATATGAGACTTCTCTCCCAGCTTCGAGTATGTGATCAGGTCCTAGGGTATTGGTTGCAGTACAAATACCTGGAAGGAGAGGCAATTTTAATATGAGACATGACATGCACTACTGGAGGCTGGTTTCATGAGTGAATCAGACTGGTCTTTCTTCACACATTAAAAATCACATTTTCATTATTCAGAGAAATAAACGATGAGCCACCAACCTTAGTCCTAATTCCATAAGTCATGGTGCTCCATGCATCAATCATTCATATACCTCATGGGGTGGGAAACCTAAACAGGTGCCATCAGGAAATCGGAGCGTTGAAATTGGTTAGACATCATTTTTCCTCAATGCAATGAACCCAGGTTTGAGGGTACCTGATGAAGTGAATTCCCTGTTCACCGATTTGCACAAAATCTGAGAGCAGAACATGTGCTGGAGAAAATATCCCATGTAGAACAAAGGAAAAGACCTCAGAGACAATGGTAGCAGCTGCATGGAAACACCTTCTGGTTCACAGCAGTTGCCAAAGCAAAGACAAACTTCAGGCACCTAAAGGTTGGACTAGATATGAATTTGAGCTCAGTTTTGGTCGCCCAGTGTCTATGAAGGACATAGAAGATAGAAAGGGAGGTTCTGAGAAAGGCTATGAGAATGGGGGAGGCTGGTGCACATGGATAGACTGGACTGTCTAGGACTGCTGAGTTTTCGGTGGAGACGGAGAAGAGGGCATATAATGGAAGAAAAGAACATAAGGGCTTGTCTACACTACAGAGGAGATCGACGCTAACAGAATAACAGAACACTGGGGCCGTGTCCAGACTCAGGGTTTTTTTCGGGAAAAGTAGCCTTTTCCCGAAAAAACTTCCCCTGCGTCCAGACTCAAGCCGCGTTCTTTCGAAATTATTTCGAAAGAACGCGGCTTTTCTTTCGATGGCGGTAAACCTCAATTTACGAGGAAGAACGCCTTCTTTCGAAAGTTCCTCTTTCGAAAGAAGGCGTTCTTCAATGTAAAGAGGCCGTCTTCGAAAGAGAGCATCCAGACTCGCTGGGTGCTCTCTTTCGAAAAAGCGGATTTCTCTTTCGAAAGATCCGCCTGCAGTCTAGACGCGATCTTTTGAAAGAGGCTCTTTCGAAAGAAGCCTGCAGTCTAGACATAGCCTAGAACTGGAAGGGACCTTGAGAGGGCATTGAGTCCAATCCCCTGCCCTCACGGCAGGACCAAGCGCCATCTAGAGTAGACCATCGATGCTGCCGCAGTCGATCTTCTGGGGTTCGATTTTGTGGGTCTAGAGAAGACCTGCTAATTCAAACTGGGAGGGTGCTCCCTTTGGTGCCAGTAGTCCTGATCATTACGAAGAGTAAGAGAAGCCAATGGGAGCGTGTGCTTCCTTCAACCTCATGCTGTGTGACTGCACCAAAATGCGATTTAAGATACTTTGACTCCTGCTATGTAACTAATGTAGCTGGAGTTGCAGATTTTAAGTCGACTTTCCCCTTTAGTGTAGACCGGACCTAAGTGATTACATTCAAATGGAAAAAAAAACCCAGAGAGTATTTCCCAACCTGTAATATCTATAGACACATTGTGCTTAATTCCCTCAAATGGAGGCAAATTAAGAGCAAACCTCTTTGGAAAGAAAAAAAATAGAAAATTGGGAATTTGTTAAGAAGAGTCTGTTAGGATGTGTCTACACAGCAGGGCTTAACTCGAAATAAACTACGCACACTGAGCTACGTACATTGCGTAGTTTATGTCGAAATAGCTTATTTCGAAATTGGGATGTCTACACAGCACTTATTTCGAAATAGAGCACTCTTCCTCTGACTTCCCTTATTCCTCGTACAATGAGGGTTACAGAAGTCGGAGTAAGAAGCCCTCCAGCTTGGCAGTATTTTGACACTATTTTGAAATAGCTGCCTGCTGCGTAGACCCAGACTCCGTTATTTGGAAATAACAAAATAGCTGCCTGCTGCGTAGATGCAGACTCCGTTATTTTGAAATAACCCTAGTAATTTCAAGATAATATTGCTGTGTCGCGATACCCTTAGAGAGATAAAAGTTCATAATTCCACCGTCAAAATAGTGGACAACTCTGGCTAAAATTTTTCTTCCATAGCAAAGGGAAGGCAGCGATTTGTGGGGAGAAATCAATATATACGAAATTGAAAGAAGGAAATAGCAAGTAACACAAAGTGGAAATTATTAAAATAGATAAGGGATGTTGGCCACAGCAGGGATGGAGCCACTCTTGGCAGAGCTAAGGAAAAGAAAATTACATGAAGAACAAAAGAAATCGAAGAAACGTTTTAGCCCAATTGCGAGGGGTTGAAAGGAAACTTGTTAATGTGCTAGAAACGATAGACATGTTCCAGAAATAGTTTTGATCTGCATTTGGAAACAAGCAATTTTAGGTACAGATTGAACATCCCTAATCTGGCACTCTCTGGTCCGTCAACATCCATGTTTCAGCATGATTTTAGTTAGCTGGATGTCCGTTCACCGTGGCTGTGTCTAGATTGGCAAGTTTTTCTTTTCCGTTAAAAGCATTTGCAGAAAAGAGCGTCTAGATTGGCACGGACGCTTTTCTGCAAAAGCACTTTTCAGCTGTTTTTAAGTTTGCCAAAGTTTTTAAGCATTTGGCCTGAAATTTTCTCTTTCTTTCTTTCTTTCTTTCTTTCTTTCTTTCTTTCTTTCTTTCTTTCTTTCTTTCTTTCTTTCTTTCTTTCTTTCTTTCTTTCTTTCTTTCTTTATTTCCGCAAGAACGCTGATAATCTTACATGAGATCATCAGTGCTCTTGCAGAAACTCAAGCGGCCAGTGTAGACAGCTGGCAAGTTTTTCCGCAAAAGCAACTGCTTTCGCAGAAAAACTTGCCAGTCTAGACGCAGACCATATGGACAATGGAATGGTTTCTGGTTTGAAATGTGCAAATGAAAGCCATCCAGAGTGTTACCCTCAATGTCTAGATGTCCAGCTGTAAACAGTCTTCTTTGTACTTGAAGTCTTAACAGTGGCTGGTCTTAGAAAGTCACATGTCCACCCCAACTGGTAGGCTGGACCAAGTAATTGTCCACGGAAAGGTGGTATCTACAAAACAATAGAAGTAGGAGTTTTTTTTGTCTTTGGCTGGTATGGTACTCCCAGGAGAAGGAACCAAAAGCCCCAGGGAGAGGGAACTTCCCTGGTTTGGCGGCTTAGCTGGAATAAGAACAGTTTTAGGGTGAGTTTGTAATAAGTTTGTGCTGAAGTTTCAGTGGGAGAATTAGTGAAGCGTTTTTTGTTATTGTAAGTTTGTAATCTACTTTGCTCTGCCTCTTCTCACTTATAACCACTGAAAACCTACTGCTTGTACCTATAAAATCACTTTTACATACTATCAAGCCAGTGTAAATGATTGTCACCTGGAGAGCAATCCGTATGTACATTCCCCCTTTCATTCCTCGATCGCCATTTTCGGGATCGGGGCTTTTTTGCGCAAAACAAATCTGAGTTGTCTTCATTGGCCCTTTTGCGCAAATGCTTTGCGCAAAAGGGACTTTTGTCCGAACGGGAGCAGCATAATATTTCCGCAAGAACGCTGATAATCTTACATGAGATCATCAGTGCTCTTGCAGAAACTCAAGCGGCCAGTGTAGACAGCTGGCAAGTTTTTCCGCAAAAGCAACTGCTTTCGCAGAAAAACTTGCCAGTCTAGACGCAGACCATATGGACAATGGAATGGTTTCTGGTTTGAAATGTGCAAATGAAAGCCATCCAGAGTGTTACCCTCAATGTCTAGATGTCCAGCTGTAAACAGTCTTCTTTGTACTTGAAGTCTTAACAGTGGCTGGTCTTAGAAAGTCACATGTCCACCCCAACTGGTAGGCTGGACCAAGTAATTGTCCACGGAAAGGTGGTATCTACAAAACAATAGAAGTAGGAGTTTTTTTTGTCTTTGGCTGGTATGGTACTCCCAGGAGAAGGAACCAAAAGCCCCAGGGAGAGGGAACTTCCCTGGTTTGGCGGCTTAGCTGGAATAAGAACAGTTTTAGGGTGAGTTTGTAATAAGTTTGTGCTGAAGTTTCAGTGGGAGAATTAGTGAAGCGTTTTTTGTTATTGTAAGTTTGTAATCTACTTTGCTCTGCCTCTTCTCACTTATAACCACTGAAAACCTACTGCTTGTACCTATAAAATCACTTTTACATACTATCAAGCCAGTGTAAATGATTGTCACCTGGAGAGCAATCCGTATGTACATTCCCCCTTTCATTCCTCAAGGGGGCTTACCCAAATAATTCCTTTGGGGTTCTGATCCCATTTCGGGAGGGGTATCCCAGGACGTTGGGCCCAAAACGACATTTCCTTTGGACGTAAAGAGTATCATTGTCTGTTCTGCTCCTCGTTGGGGGAAGGGGGAGTGAGGTCAGCTCAGGGCCTTGGCTGGGAGAGACCAGGGAGCTGGTCTGGCAGGACCAAGCGGTGAGAAGCCCCAGAGAGCAGGAAGGTGAGTGGCAGACGGTGACCCCCACAAGGGGGTCTTCTCTGAGAGCCTCCGTCACAAACGCTATATAATACAAACTGGTTAGCTGACTGATCGCCGAATACAGCTGTCAATGGGCCATGGACAGTGAATGGGGAAGTAAAAGAGGCAATGGGTTAAACTATGGCGTAGCAGGTTTTGATGAACTCTCAGGAAAATCCCGGTGCAGTCCAGCCCTAATTCACATCCCATCTTTGGGCTCAATACCAGGGTAAATGGGTGAAATGCAATGGCCTGTGTTATACAGAAGAGCAGTTTGGATTAGCTATTGAGCCCATCAACTAGTCTTTA